CATGGCGTCCTGCCCCTCCTCGTCCATATGAGGGAATGCGGCTTCCGCGAGAGCCAGCAACGCCGTGCGGTAGGCGAGCGCGGTCTCCGTGTCTCCCTTCCGTCGCTCGTAGAATTGGTGGCGGCATGCCGAAGGTGGTCCGTACACCTTGGCCATGAGGCCCAGCGCGGCCTTGAGAGTGGAGCAGGCCGATCTCGGGGCGGACCTGAAGGCCGCGAGTGCGTTGTCGTCCAGCATCGCAGGCAGTGCCCGTAGCGGCGTAGCGTCGGATCAGCCCGACATTTCTTGATGGGCGAGGAATCTCCGCTGGAATGCGCCCCAGTCACCCCCTTGAGCTTTGAAGGCCGTCAACGCGGGAAGACGCTGCTGAAAAACCATGTCGTAGGTATTGTGGTCTATGCAAACATTACTCTTTGTAAAAAAGGTGTCAGTTTTGTTGCCAGATTAAAGGGTGAAAAACCAATTATCATTATTTTTTTACTGGCAAATGAGGTGCCAATGGTGTATTTGCTTAGCTTTTTGAGATCTGATGTGATTGGGGACACTTCCATGTGATTTGGTTGTAGACACAATGAAGACGTCTGCCACTAAAGGTCCTTTCTCAAAGACGCCAGCGATCATGGCCTTCTTTCCTTTTAGCTGTGTCCCTGAAAATGACTCGAGAACTTTGCATAACATACTCCTTCCAGTTGCATACAATTGTTCAAATTGCTTGCGTACTTGATTCGCCGTCTTGTGCCAACTAAAACTAATGATTTGGAAATCGTCGAAAATTATGGTAGGGGTGACAAAAACGTTTGGGTTATGTGTGAGCATCGAATTCCGACACCAGCAGTGAGTATATGAAGTTGGGGAGGGAATATACAATGGACAGAGTGAGAGAGAGAGAGGGAGCGCACACGAGCATCAAAACCACCACACAACAGCATTTGAGCTGCAGACAAATATGCGACTGTTACAGAATAACAAATTATCCGAAATGTAGAGACAACTGGCGGCCGTAAGGGCTAATTACGGGTGGGAGAACAGCACACAGACTACAGAAGGGAGTATGCACGCGAGCGACCACAAGGGGGGGGGGAAACTAGGCCAAGGGTCAAAGAGGGGATCTATCGGGATGCTCCCAAAACCCGCAGGAGTGTTCGAGAAGAGAGTCGTGGCCAGGAGCGGGGCATGGCCATACTGGGGGGATAAACAGCAGAGAGTAACGGGGTTTTGGGCGCCGTGGGGTTCGGGGTCCTGGTGGTCAGCGCTGTCGTCTCTTCGTCGCCATTGCCGCCATGTAGTCAACCTGCTATATAGTTTGACATCGCCGTCGTCGCTATATAGTCAACCAGCTATATAGTCAGTCAGCGCTAAATAACCTGTGACTGTGTCCTTAAGTCGTAGCTGTATGCCGACGATAAATAATAAAGAAGCCCTCTACAGTTGTGTCTCTGAAGTCGTTACATTACAAAAGCATGGGACGATGATAATAATAACCGTGACCACGACAACAATCGCGGTGGTGTGAATAGTTGCGCAACTGCAGTTGCACTCCCCAGCTTCAAAGCCATCCCTTCCGCACGTCACCATCAACATTATCTGCGATCTATTCACCTCAGCATGATGGCCTCTCCAAGCCGTCCAGTTGCGCAACCGGTAACCTCTCATGATCTTTTAGCTCAGCTGGTGATATTCTGGATTTGAATTAACTATACCCATGTCGTCTTTGACGACGCTATTAGTTGTGTTTAAGATGCGCATATCTCATTCGTGAATGGAAAATGAAAGACAACACAGGTTGGTGTGATTGTGGCCAGGCAACCCAAACTGTGGACCATATAGCAAACCGCTGTCGTTTGCTGCCTTCGATGGAGGAGAAGTCTATATATGCATGTTGAACTTGTTTCGCACCGTGCGTAGCCAACCATGCTAATCAGAGGTGCAATAAAAGGACAACGAACTCAACACAAACATAGCAAAACTCAACATATTTCTGCCATCATCATGTGAAAGATTAGTTTCGAGCTTCTCAGGGTCTTGGGATGCAACAATCCATTTGGCACCTACTGGCACATGGTCCGATACCAATGCTCCATCACCAAGGTCAAGGGTCGCCAACCAAAATAACAAGAAGAGCCATTTTTGTTCGAATTCAGTGAAAGAAAACTCAATAATTCAAGAGCCGCAATGCACGTGGGGAATACGGGATGGTGGTCTTAAATAAATAACTGTCACGAAGCAGCATTCCTTAAAGTTTCAAGTTTCAAGTTAATTTATTAGGTATAGCCCTGTGAGCCATTCGGCTCTTGAATCGGGTGCAACCGCAACAAACAAAAAACATAAACAAAAAACATCTTAAAGTGAATATGTGACTAAGTGCAAACAGAAAATCCAAGAAAAGACAGCAAAATATTGCAGAAAATAAAACCGTACACCAACGCTGTGTGCAAAAATCCCAGTGGGATGCAAGTCAAACAACAACAACAACCACAAGACAACTTAGATTAAGGCCATCAGTCTAAAGAGCCGCACTAGGCTCTGGAGCTGCAGGTTGCCGACCCACTGGCCTAGGTGAAGGTCCCCTTGGATGCGTTCCACTCCTTGGCGGCTACTTGCTTTCATTTTCAAGTTCAGAATTCCCAAGAGCGCCCCTCTGCAAAACATGACTTAGTACAATCACAGAGGTCAGACGTTTCTTGTAGTTGGCCACCAGGTTTGCACACATTTCAGGAGGAATTTTGTCTCACTCCTTTTTGCAAATCTTGTCCAAGTCATTAAGGTTTCGAGGCTGACGTTTGGCAACTCGAACCTTCAGCTCCCTCCACAGACTTTTTATGGAATTAAGGTCTGGAGACTGGCTAGGCCACTCCAGTACCTTAATGTGCTTCTTCTTGAGCCACTCCTTTGTTGCTTTGGCCGTGTGTTTTGGGGCATTGTCATGCTGGAATACCCATCCACGACCCATTTTCAATGCCCTGGCTGAGGGAAGGAGGTTCTCACCCAAGATTTGACGGTACATGGCCCCGTCCATCGTCCTTTTGATGCGGTGAAGTTGTCCTGTCCCCTTAGCAGAAAAACACCCCCAAAACATAATGTTTCCACCTCCATGTTTGACGGTGGGGATGGTGTTCTTGGGGTCATAGGCAGCATTCCTCTTCCAAACACGGCGAGTTGAGTTGATGCCAAAGAGCTCCATTTTGGTCTCATCTGACCACAACACTTTCACCCAGTTTTCCTCTGAATCATTAGGATGTTCATTGGCAAACTGCTTTCTTGAGCAGGGGGACCTTGCAGGTGCTGCAGGATTTCAGTCCTTCACGGTGTAGTGTGTTATCAACTGTTTTCTTGGTGACTATGGTCCCAGCTGCCTTGAGATCATTGACAAGATCCTCCCGTGTAGTTCTGGGCTGTTTCCCTACCGTTCTAATGATCATTGCAACTCTACGAGGTGAGATCTTGCATGGAGCCCCAGGCCGAGGGAGATTGACAGTTCTTTTGTGTTTCTTCCATTTGCGAATAATCACATCAACTGGTGTCACCTTCTCACCAAGCTGCTTGGCGATGGTCTTGTAGCCCATTCCAGCCTTGTGTAGGTCTAAAATCTTGTCCCTGACATCCTTGGAGAGCTCTTTGGTCTTGGCCATGGTGGAGAGTTTGAAATATGATTGATTGATTGCTTCTGTGAACAGGTGTCTTTTATTCAGGTAACAAGCTGAGATTAGGAGCACTCCCTTTAAGAGTGTGCTCCTAATCTCAGCTCGTTACATGTATGAAAGACACCTGGGAGCCAGACATTTTTCTGATTGAGAGGGGGTCAAATACTTATTTCCCTCATTAAAATGCAAATCAATTTATAACATTTTTGACATGCGTTTTTCTGGATTTTTTGGTTATTATTCTGTCTCTCACTGTTCAAATAAACCTACCATTAAAATTCTAGATTGATCATTTCTTTGTCAGTGGGCAAACGTTCAAAATCAGCAGGGGATCAAATACTTTTTTCCCTTGCTGTATGTTCTCTAATCCATGGGTTTACATCTCTCTCTCTCTCTGTATATTTCCAAGCTTGTACCAACTGACCCTCATTGATCACCAGGCTTTTCCAACTGACTCGTCGATTGAGTTTCAGCCTCACGATACACGCGACAAATTGTACGTGCGGGAAATCGGTGATTTGGGATCTGTCCGCATTGCTTACAAGCCACATGCTGACTGCGTTTAGGGTAATGGAGCGAACAAAACTCTACAAATGAGAAACGATACAAACGAGACTGCATAAAACGAGACGTTAGAAAAAAATAGAACATTCACCCCGATTTATGGTTTCAACCAGTCGCTGGGAGGGTGAATCATTGCATGCCGATAATCAACAGCTTAGTAATCGAGGGTCCAGGTGGTGCACCTGCACACGGGCTCCTGGGTCAGATAGGCGGGGGACCTGTTACAAGGGAACCAGAGGGACCGACCACTGCTCCCTACCCGAGCCATGCTGGGGCCTTGTTGATCGAGGCAGCCGTGTCGATTAAGCTGACCGTGTCGACCGAGCCAGGCGTACCGATCGAGCCAGCTGTGTCGATCGAGCCTGCCTGCCATGTTTTTCCACCACCGCTGACATCACACTCAGTGATTAAAATGTTTATCTCCTGGCCCTGCTGGGCCCCAAGCCAGATTAAGATGTTTGTGAAGCCAGAGATTCACCCTTTTTGTTCTGGCTCAGCGGTGTAAAACCACCCGTGCCGTGACACCCTGGAATGGAAGTATCCGGCAACTCAAACTGATATTCTGTTATCCATCCCCGCCTCCCGTACAGAGCTAACTCTACCCTTAAAGAGGCCCCAGCGTGATCGTGGTCTTCTAAAGCTTCTCTCAACAAAAGCTTTTTTATTGCGATGGTGGCAGACTAGAGGAAACCAACGCTGCCGTGCATGTGGACGTGCGACCATAGCTCTTGACGTTCCACCGTGCCTAACTCCCCCCCCCCCCTCCCACCTGTCCCCCACCATGTGTGTCGGCAGTGATAATGACGGAGGAGGAGATGCAACGCAAGAAGGAGATGATGATCAAGCGGAAAATGGAGTGTGACGGCAGCGAGAGGGTGCGGCTGCAGCTCAGCGACGAGCAGGACCGGCTCATCACGGACCTCATCGAGGGTCACCGCAAGACTTACGACGACACCTACTCCGACTTCTCGGAGTTCCGAGTGAGAGGGGATCTTCTTCTACTTCTTCTACATCTTTTTTCGTACGCCTCGTCTAGATGCAGAGCAACAGCTATGATTTCACATTCAGGTGGTCAAGCCAGCCAACCGCATTAGGAGCAGCGGAGAGCATCACTGTGTTGTCTCCTTCGTGCTAGTGGATCGGGCATTTCGTCGTTATATATTGTACAGTCTGTTCTTGATGACCACAGCTGCACACTGGAGAGTTTTTAACTTTACATTTGTGCATCAGGTATCCGCATGGACTGTAATGGATTGTGCAATGGATGCAGTTTAAGGTGGAGCATGAGCTTTGTGGAAGTTCAAACCCAGCGGTCTGCTGCTGCGGCTCGGCCACGGAAAACGGGCCAGTAGGGGAAAACCACCCGCGATTGTGAGGGTCACCCGGCACTGGCTCAGCTCGGGTGCGGCAGTGGAAAAGGGGCTGTATCGTTCCATCCGATACAATGCACCGCGTGTCCCCCCCCCCCCCCCCCCCCCCCCCCCGTGCAGCCGCCGGTTCGGAAGAGTGACAAAAGCTCAGAGGAGGGGTTCTGCTTGTCACCAATGGGCTTACATCTCGAGAAAAGCAACTCCACCTGCTCGTCCCCGACCTGTAAGTGGAGGACACGTACCGCCAACCCCACCCCGGTAAGCTGCTCGCCGTGCTTGAGTACGCGTCATGCCGACCGACCCACCGACCGACTGACAGAGGTCACGCGGCCCTTCTCGTCAGTCCAGCAAATCGGTCAATCGCTGATAGAGCAGGGGTCATTGGGTGGGGTCATTGGGTAGGGTCATTGGGTTGGGTCAGTGGGTGGGGTCAGTGGGTGGGGTCATTGGGTGGGGTCATTGGGTTGGGTCAGTGGGTCGGCTCAGTGTGTGAGGTCAGTGGGTGGGGTTTGTGGGTGGAGTCAGTGGGTGGGGTCAGTGGGTGGGGTCAGTGGGTGGGGTTAGTTGGTGGGGTCACTGGGTGGGTTAACTCGTGTGACACGCGCCGTGCTGTTCGTGCATGCGTGCGTGCGTGGGGGCATCTCCGTGGATCCAAGCTGCCCTGAGCGTGGGCATGAGCTTGGGGAACATCTTCAGCATCCTGCCCATGTGCACGGACGATGGGAGCGACGAGGTCACGGCCAATCCGCCCTTGACCATGCTGCCGCACCTCGCCGACCTCGTCAGCTACAGCATCCAGAAGATCATCGGCTTCGCCAAGATCCTCCCCGAGTTCAAGTACGCAGCCTGTCAGCTCTCGCGCGGTGGCGGCGATGGCGGCGTAGCAACTTAACTTGCGGGCATCATGATATACGAGGATCGATGAAGCGGGGGGGGGGGGTGTTGTCTTTGTTGTCCTAGTTTTCTGTCCTTCCCCCTTAATTTGTTGTCCTTCTCCAGCACCTCCGATTAGGACGGTTGGCTACGTACTGTGTGAAAGAAGATCAACGTACACGTATACAGATGATGGGGAAAAAACATCGCTGACAAAAGAATAAGTTAGTGCCAGCGAAACAAAAGTCACGTACAACAAGTTTGTTGAACATTCATCCGTCGGGAGGGCACATGTAGAAAATACATCTCACGTATGACACCGAGGGCGGGGATCACTGCGGATAGTGGATAACGATCAAACTGATGACATAAAGAGGTGGACAGGAGAGTGTTGGAGGAGTGTTGATTGAAAACGCTGAACTCGAGAACGAAGAGCAACGTACCAACGTGGCTGTAGAAGAACACTTTTTTTAACCTGTGCATGTCACCTGCTGCGACTCGCAGATTTAGAAACGTGAATAAAGACAAAATATTTACGAGTTGAATCACCTGCAAAAAGAAGCGTGGATTCGAGAGGTGCGTGCAATGTGAAATACACCGCTGAGACAGGAATAGTAGCACGTCAATTGGAGAATGATGCCCGAGTTAGAGGCGTCGTTCTTGGCTGCTTGGAAAAGTTGAGCGGGGCTTGAGTCGGACGCAGCGCCGGAAGTTACGGTGGCCGAGAGTTGAGGCCAACCGCGGAGGGGTAGCCAAAGAGGGGAACGCGTCTGATGGCGTAGCGGAATCGGCGTGCGAGCGCACAGGAGCCCAACGGATTGTTGCATCGCAATACATACGTATGTATGTTGAACTTGTTTCACCGTACTATACATAGCCAACCGTGCTAAGCAGAGGTGTGGGGGGGAAGGACAACAAGCTAGTTTTCTATTTAGATGTAAAAGTGCATAGCTCCAAAGGCTTCCTAATATTGGAAGGTTGAACGTTCCAGACGGCCACAGGAGCGCATCTGAAAACACGCGATGCAGTGACCGTCTTTACCTTCAGACATGGCAGGGGTTTAGAGAGGCCTTCATTTGGGAATGGACTGATGATCATCATCGCTGCTGCTGCTGCGGACGCCGGTGATCGTTATCTCTGCGTGCCGTGTTTGCTGTTTGTACACCGCAGGGAACTCCACACCGAAGACCAGATCGCGCTGCTCAAGTCGAGTGTGATCGAGATCATCATCTTGCGCTCCAACCAGTCCTTCTCCTTGGAGGACAACTCCTGGACGTGCGGCAGCAACGAGTTCAAGTACTGCATCACGGACGTCACCCAAGGTGAGTACTATCTCCCTTGTACGCATTGTACCGGACTTTTAATGGGCACGCTGGTTTCCTCCCACCATGCAAACATCGTGCACACATACGGCCTGCTTCTCAGTCCACTGCTGAGAGAGGGCCCACGTACACCGTGCGGGTCGTGGGGGCGATTTGACCGTACTTTACGCTGGTGAGTGCTAGTTGGTGGAAGGCAGAGCACAGACATGGAGGTTTTGGAATGGGTGGTGGACCTTCTTTGGCAAACAAACGCATTGAACACCTCTCTTCTCTCTTCCATTCGGCTGCGTTATGATTGGACCGCCATTCGACGGCGTTCAGGGTCGTCGGATGGATTCCAATTTTGCCTCCTGCAAAGGCGTGGAGGAGTAAAACTGTAGAGAAGAGTAAGGTGGGCCCTTGGCAGGACGTGTCGCTAGCTAACCGCTCCAGACTAATGAGATGGAGCGGCGGCCGGGGAATCCAAACACATCAGAGGGGTCGTCCACCAAAGGAGACGGAGCGACGAAATCAGCTATGTGGGATTATTCGTGACAGCTTGGAGAGGCCTTCACCTGGCGATGACGATGTTGGTGGTGACGACGACGACGATGATGATGATGATGATGATCTTTCACACCGTATGTAGCCAAACATACGTTAATTGGAGATGCGGGAGAAGGACACCAAATTAAACACAAATAGCAAATATAGATATGCGTTCCTGCTTCCCACAGCAGGCCACTCCATGGAGCTCATGGAGCCCCTGGTGAAGTTCCAGGTTGCCCTCAAGAAGCTGAATCTCCATGAAGCGGAGCATGTGCTGCTCATGGCCATCTGCATCTTCTCTCCAGGTAGGTGCCATGGAGGCAAGATGTTGACCTCACCCGGTATAAAGGAGGTCGGGGGTTCGATGCCGACCCTGATACCTGTTTATTTGGAATTTGCATGTCTCTCTCACCGTGGTCGTGTGGATTTTTCTCCAGGTCCTCCGTTTTTTTTTCTCCATATTTAGAAACATGCGTTTAGAGTATTTGGCTACTATAAATGTATAAATGATAAACCACTTAATTGAGCTATCATTTGTGGCCAGGTTGCTTCTAGAAAATAGCTATATAACTCAGTGGTCCTTACCTGGTAAAATAAAACTATTATTAAAAACATAGGCTTGGCCTGCCTCTTCACTGCTGGAATACGCGGGAGGTAAGATGAGCTCTGGGGGGAACAGACAGGGCCCAACTAGAGGGTCCAATGTCTTGGTTATTGCTAGCGGATAAGGGCCTCCACAGAGAGCTCCTCTGCACGGAATGTTTGGCCTACTCTTTCACAATGGTGAAATGTCTTGGAGGAGGTGGGAGTACCCACACTTTAATTCACCGCACGTGACCTGCCAATTGACTTAACTCTGGTGTACCCATTCATACTGCATCTGAATCATGTTACATTTTGTCACAGCACCTTGCCTATGTAGTGCCATAAGAGGGGAGGGGCTGCTGGGGGCTCTGGTATCCTCGGCGGATAAGCCTTGGCGCCAGGCGCTGGGATCCCAGGCACCCCAGCCAGTTAAGCCCCTTGGCGCCACCAACGGGGGGGGGGGGGGGGGGGCCTGTGTGTGCTCTGTGGGATATCTGGGGGCGCACACAACCCCACCCCTCGTTGGGGACGAGGCATAAAAGGGCAGCTCCCTGGCCGGACGGGGCCAGTTGTAGCTCAAGACCCAAGACCAGCCATCTTAGGACCCTTGACCCCCTCGTCCCGCTTGTCCTTGTAAGGGCCGGGATGCTGTGAGAGTCAGTGGTGGGACTCTGGAACTCCCGGCTCAACGTCCTTGTAAGGGCGAGTTCCCAGGAAGACAGAGTCCAGACCCGCACCTTGGCTCGGTCGTGTCAGATAGCCTCTCCCAGGGTAGTTGTAGCCGGAGGACCCCAGAGCGTAGCCAGAGTAGTGTATCTAGGCTGTGTACCTAGGCTGTGTACCTAGGCTGTAACAGAGTATGAGGACTGAATGGAGTGTTGTATTGTAATAAAGAAGTTACCTCTACAAGTGTCTCCGGAACCCATTACACCTACATTGACCAATGCGACACTAATTCTGGCAGAGTGCTAAGCATCAATGACCTAATGCATTCGACAATTTTCTGTGGAAATGGATCAGTCGGGCCTCACGAGGTCAGACAGCTGAGCTGGCATAGCCGAGATCTTGGGGAAAAATTCAGCCAGGAGCCAGTGATTAATACGGGTCCTCTGCACGGCCACACAAACATTCCTAGAGGTGGCTATGGGGCCAGAGACCTGGGCCCAAATGCCACGTGGGTGGGGGGGGGGGGCCTTGTTCATTGGCGACCAAAAAACCGAGGCCCGCTATGGGGCCCTCTATTTTGTGTCCACCCTGGTTTGCATTTTCCCCTTTTTGCTGCCACATCTTGGACGGCCCTGTACTCGGGCATAGCGAGCTGATATACCAATCATGTATATTTAATCGCACACTTTACTCAGAAAGTCAGTCCTGAGAATTCATATGTTAGTGTTTGACCGACAAAACAATGAACACTTTTTGCAGGGCTCGAAAATGTGTGCCCCCTACCGTGGAGACAAAGAGGTCGAGAAAACCGACCTCAGAAGTTGTTCTGCAACCTTCTGGGGTCGATCACCGACACAGGGTAACGTCACTTGCCCAGTGTGAGCATTCCTATAACGGAGAGTCCTGCCCTCTCAAAAAGTGGCACCAATAGCAGCATTCACAATTCAGACCGTCGTTGCGCACAACAGCACGCCCCCCGTGTGGCAAATAAAACCGCGTCGACTTTCAACTGAAAGACAACGCATGCAAATACCATGCGTGCAGGAGTGGGCACGCTTTCAAATTTATAAAATCTCCGAACGGCATCCTCAACATTTCCGGAACGACCTGCCTCTGATCCTATATTTGACACAGCTGTTGTGTTGGATTATTAATAAAACCTCGATAATTGACCCTGAATGTGTTTCCTGTTGCTGTTGGATGCACTTATCGCAGTGGCTAGGGGGGGGGGGGGGGGGGTATGCTGTCAAACACAGGTCACCGTGAAGGCACAGCCCCCGAGTCAGACTTAGTACGAACCGTTAATCATATTCATCACGTGAGTTATCTCCTTTTATATTTAGCAAATATGCACATCACTCTTGTTTTAAAAAACAAGCCCCTTTCATTACGGTCACCCGCGCAGAAGTTCACTTTGACTAAACAAAACTGTGGTGTGCATCCAAATGGGACGTTTACCAATCAACGTGTAGTGAGTCCAACTGAGTCGCAGACATTGTTCCTTTTAGAGGCAACACTTTTATTTGTAACACCGTAACAGAAAGGGGTAACTGTCCCTTTACCAGATACAGCCTAGGTAGGAGACCACCCATCTAACTACCCTATACAGGGGAGTTACAGCTACGAAGGGTCGGACCCTTGCTCGGGTCTCCGACCACGTGGTCCCCCGTAGGACGAGGCGCTTCCAGCTTGAGATGCAGAGCTTCCAGCTTGTAGAACGAAGAGAGACCCCAGTCCCTCCCAGGGACCCGCCTTATATCCTTCTCCGGTCGGGGCCGCTCCGCCCTCGGCCCTGCCTGCCTTCCTGAACATTCTCGTTCCCTCTCGATCCTTCTCAAGAGCTCTCTCCGGACACGTGATCACCCCCTAGTCCCCCCACCTGGGGCGACCTGTGTGGACAGTCCCGATCACGTGTCTACAGGGTCAACCAGAGTGCCATGGCCCGGGGCAACCCTGCCCCTGGGCAGACACTCACCCCCTCCCCCTCGGGGAAGCCCCCACCACACGCTATGCGTGGTGCCCTCACGATCCCAGTGCTCGCCAAGCCCCGCTAGGGCTGGTGTCACACACAGCCACCCACACGGTGCTGTCCACGATGTAGAAACATCGAACGGTAAGACCCTTCCAGGCCGGCACCTTTTAGTGACATCCCCAATGTCACTACAAATGCATGGACATCGTCTGGACAGTGTTAAAGTGGAGAGGGCACGGCTGTGGCCTCGATGAGCGGTGCACCACAGATGGGCACTGGCATTTCGCTCGAAACCAAACAGGGGCGTTTTGCGTGCACTGAAAGTCACGTGAACTGCCAGCGCCAGAAACGAACTGCGATGTGTTTGGGCACGAGTGAAACTGGATAACACTGCATGCAAGTTGCATGTTATTTTGAAATGGTTCGGTACCGATTAACCATTTGATAAAAAAAAACTTTCCACTGAGTTCGGATTTGCAACATTCGTGAAGCAAAGATCTCCTGTGTAGCCGACATTGTCAGCTACACGGGAGGTCTTTGTGTTGATAATTCTCAGCGAAAATACATTTATGGATTTTTTTATAGCTATATTAGTCCACTAGTCGAAGATAATAATTTGTTTAATTCCACTTGTTTACCCACGAATGCCGCACCGACTCATATTTATAAAGATCCTGCCAAGTTTTTTTTTGTAGTAGGAGGGTGGTGACGTCTCTACGTCTAATCCCAATTGAGTTATGTGCAGGTCATGTTAGCAGAATATGGGGGAGAACATACACACTCCACGCAGAAAGGCACCCGAGTCGGGACTCGAACCCACGACCTTCTTGCCATTACCACTGCACCACTTTTGACATCTGTGGGGGACACATGTGAAAAAGAGCTTCATAGCTCATTGGATTCCTTCAGTCTAAATAAATATTCTGATTCTGACTTTGCCGACCAACGTGAGCCATCAATCGTGTTGATCGGAGTGGATCGCATCACAAGTACAGGGTTAGGAGGTCACGTGTTGACTGTGCAACTGGAGTGGGATCTGGCAGAGTGTGTGGTGGCATCAAACGCATGGGGGGGGGGGGGTTGGGGGGGTGTGGGGGAGGTGACATGGGAGCGGTTGGCACTCCAAATCCTCCAACGGCAATCTGTATATTTGTATACATGTATGTTGAACTGCTTTCGCACCGTACGTAGCCGACCGCGCGAATCGGAGGTTTGGGGGGTAGGGACGACAAACCAAACACAAAAAAAGCAGCTCTGAAGAAATTAGTTTTCAATCTCAAAGGGTATACCATGCGGTGGTACAACTGCACTTTTCACAAGACCTTCGTACAAATCACCCTGTGACCACTGACCTTTCTCTCTGCTCCTGCCTCCATCACCCGTCAACCCAGACCGTCCAGGCGTGACGGATCGTGACCGCGTGGAGGCTTGCCAGGAGCGGCTGTCGGAGACGCTGCGCACCTACATCTCGTGCCACCACCCGCCGCCGGGCGGCCACCTCCTCTACCCCAAGATGGTGCAGAAGCTGACTGACCTTCGCAACCTGAACGAGGAGCACTCCAAGCAGTACCTGGAGATCTCTCGCAAGGAGGGCGCCGTTGACGACCTCACGCCCCTTCTCGTCGAGGTGTTCGGCTCCCCGCTACCCTGAGCCAGGGGCCCATTGCGCTGGCCTTCTTCTCGCTGCTCTTCCCAGAATGCTATTCTTCGTCTTCACTCTATCCTTGCTGCCCTTCTTCTCACTGCTCTTCCCAGAATGCTCTTCTTCACAATATCCTTGTTGCACTTCGTACCGCCCTGCTTACGTTCTCACTTCTTCTCTCAGTCCTTCATGCTGCCCCTTGTACATGTGCTGCTTTTCTTCACACTTAACTTTATCTTGGCTGCCCTTCTTGACGCTGCCCAGCCACCCCGCGTGGTCTACTGTCACGTGCGCGCGTGCGCCCGACGCATGTAATGACGCATCGATCGCATACGACTCTCACGCTCGCAATACGAGCGTCGAGTTATGTGCATGATAATCCGTGATGTTGGACGTGTAGAGGGCTGCACCGTGCAGCTATTCGTCGAATTGTGTCCCCATTACCTCCTTGCAACCACTACAGGGGAGTTGGGGGAGAATCTTTACATGCCTATCACTGTACCTACTTCGGCTGTGCATCTTAGGATGTTCAACAAGTGATTAAGGTTCGTTATCATCATCGTCATAATCAGTCACGATTCATCCGCTGCTGGATGACAGCCTCCCCGAACCGTTGTTATTCCTCGCAGTCACAGCCTCGTGGTGTAAAACAAAACAAAAACCCCACCCTGTTCCTGCACATGAGCTCATTCCATCGCTCCGTCTTCTGCAGGCGGGGGTGCTGTCGAGCATGTTGACAAGAAAGGACGTGATTATCCATGTCTGGCAACATTGCTCCCACGTGGTTTATTGCGTCTCGTCAACCGAGTGGTCCCACCACGAAAGCGTTGCCTGCAGAGCGTTACGATCTTTAAAACAAGTTGTTGTTTTTTTAGAATGCATTCCAACTAAGGTTGGAGGTATTCACGCATCAGCTCTGTTCGTCTGCCTGTATGTAACGGAGGGATTCGTGATAATTCTCGTAAGGATGATCCAATATGCACATCCTTTTGAGAATTAAGTTGCGTTACTATTAAGCCAAAGAAAAACCTCTCACAACGATCAAACCATTGCCTAATACTTCACGACGTCATTTCGTGTCACCTCATGTCATCGTGAGGTCATTATTGCTCATGTTATATCTCCGAGCACAAACCGCACCTGGGAACCGTTAACGGAATCCACGCGGACGCACGAGTTTCCCCCCGATGACCTTCAACGGAGCTTCAAACTCGTGCGGGACACAGCCCGTGCAGGACACACGGGCCAACGTAGCGTAGCTGCATGGTCAGAGCCGTTTTTTGTGGTTTTCTGTGGTTGTGTGTTCCTGTGAGGAGGAGTCTCGGCACCAGTGGTGTTAGGGTTGGGCACAGCTCACAAGGGGCTCTGATGCGACCCTGGTCTGGGCTCAGCTCGGTTCCTCTCGCCTGGTCATTTTTGCAGAAATTTTGGCAATTCGTTTCATAGGCAGCGTAATTATTTGAAGCATCGCTTTGTTTTTGTTTACATAGCTCAGCTAAGCACACGTGCAATGCGCTGAAAATACGTCAGTAAGGTATGTATTTGTAATCTGCCACTCTTAAGACCGTTTTAGAGCGTGTATTGTTGTATTACGTGTGGTGCCGTGGGTGCATGGGCGACAGACAATCTCGATGTTTGTACTACGTTGAACTTCTTTCGTAGCGTACCAACCATGCGAATTGTGCACTCGCATCAGCGGTCTACTTAACAGCCGAGATGGCCTCACGTCACAGCAAACAGAGATCATCACTGTCTTTAGTCAGATCGATTCAAGAACTTTAATTTTTTTTGTCCAGTGTAGCAGCGAATGCTCACACCTCTTGAGTTGCTGGGGGGACGATGCGAGTGCATTGTATGCGAACTTAAAAACATATTCCTGTGTAAGTGATTCGTTGGGTGTATCGTGAGCTTAACGATCGATATTGATCAATGAACAGATTTGCCTCATCCAGCAGTCATCGTCAACCAGAACTGGTTCCCATGACTGCTGTATTGATATTCCAATCTGCCCTCAATGTATTCAGAAAACTCTATGGATCGTTATTATGAATCAGTATTACATAAGGTTATTGACCCAGTGTTTACGCGAGATGTAAACTGCTTCGCCTGGTATACAGGAGATCGCGAGTTCGATACCGACCCTGACGCCTGTATATTTGCAGTTTGCATGTTCTTTCTTTTCCCGTGATCGCGTGGATTTTTCTCCAGGTCCTCCGGGTTTTCCCTCCACATTTAGAATCAACATCACGCGTTTAGATTATTTGGCTGCTATAGATTTCCACGTGATAAGCCACTTCGTTGAGCTATCATTTGTGGCCAGATCACTTCTGAAAACATATAGATCGGTGGGCCTTACCTGGTAAAATAAAAAGTTTACTTTTAGAATGGACCTCAATGCCAGTGCCAGTGTTGGTTTTGCACTCGCTTTACTGACCACCATTCATCAGCCTGTGACCCACGAGGTCAAAGCTCCCCGGTCCTCCTCGCTCGTTCGACAACCTCCTTCGTTTCGGGGTGTCAAAGCCAAGTCGCCACGTGGGTCAGGATTCTGCCATTGGTGAAACGCGGCTTGTGTGGTCTGGGGAGGGACGATTCGAATTCGCGATGAGATTCTGTGTGCATGAACACGTGTGTTCCCATGCGGAGGGGAGCGGTAGTGCAGTGGCTAGCGGCGCACTGCGCTACTCGAACCCGGCGACCCGAGTTCATTTCTCGCTCACGGTCAACATCGGTGATGAATATCTCAAACAGTCCTCGGCCTCCAGTACGTCGACTCAGCCTTCAATGAGTACATCACCATTGGGGAGACAAAGACGGCCATGTGTAGCGCGGACTACTCACCCCCTTGTGTATATCCTTCCGACCTTCATAGGTGCTCACTAACAGCACTTGCCACAAGAGCCCTATTAAGGCTATACGAGAGATATTTGTCTTCATCCCAAGTGACGCAGAGGGACATGATTCAATTTAAGATGCAGATATCATTGTGCGTGTGTACGTGCGTGCTCCCACTTGATGACATGTTTCTCCATCATCGGGCGTGTGCAGTGCGTGTAACAACTTAATTTGCATTTGATCGGAGAAGATTGGTAAATACGGAAAGGCGGACTGCTGGGTCCGGAGGACGTGCGTTAACACAGTGCCTCGAAGTGCTTTGGAGTTGGACCGAGCGTTGTTCGGTCATGGTGTCCAACTTTTCGCTCCACGTGCGGGGAGCCCTTCCAGTTGCCAGTCTATGGAAACGAAACGCCCAAACAACAGACGCGGGCACGGCCCAAAAACTCGAATCGGAGCTTTAACGGAGCAAAGCCGCGACAAGCCTGCGGGATGAATGAATCGTTGTTTGCGGTGGTGATGGTTGTGGTGGTACTGGTGGTTGCGGTGGTGGTTGTGGTGGTGCTGGTGGTAGTGGTGGGGAGCGGTAGTGTAATGGTTAGCGCGCTGCGCTACGAATCCGGCGACCCAAGTTTGATTCCTGCTCACGGCCAACACCAGTGACGACTGTCTGAACCAGTCCTTGGCCTCCCCGAGGTCGACGCACCTGGTGCAGTGTGTAAACATCGCCACTCGGGAGACAAAGGCGGCTGGACGTGGTGTTGGCCACCCACCCCCTCGTGTGCCCTGCCGGCCTTCATAGGTGCTTGCTAACAGCACTTGCTCCAACAGTCTGTTCAGGCTATACGGAGCATCTTTGTCTTTGTTTGGTGTGTGCGAAGCCTCGTGGTGCTTACCGGTACCAATGGGACATTCGAAGCGTTCACGAATTTTCAGCGTCGCGATTCAATCCGAGAATTAATTGATTGTTAATTAGCCATCGTCGTCGCCGCCGCCGGCCGTGGTGAACGAACGTAGCTCAGAATCGGATATATTAGAATGTTTGTTTAAACCTGTAACGAGGTGCAGCATGGTTGACGCACGTGCTGTGAAACAAATTTACACGTAAATTTTTTTCACAGAGCGTGCATCATTGGCCCTTAACAACGCTTCAAGTGACCGAAAAATCCGACCGGGACAAAGGCACGGCTTTCTAGGTGAGCACACAAGACTAATATTACCTGCTTCAAATAAAAATTAAAATATAAAAAAAATCTTAGATGCATGCTAAGATGGTACACGCCAGAGAAATCGGTGCGTGAATGACTAATGGACACTGCCAGGCAACATGATCTTCTTCTTCTTGTTCGCCCATCAAAGTTGATGGTGACCATGGCACGTTTGTCATTTTTTTGGGTTTTGATGAGTGCGCAGATGGCTGAACAGGCCAATCCGAGCCCGGAATTCTCTGTGGCACACTGGACAGGTCAGGGAGGATGTAGAGCTCTGAGGTGCAGCCACAAGTCCTTCCTTGGTAGATTTGCGCTGCTGCCTCTTCAAGATAGCACAGGAGCTTCTCCTACTCTCACTGAGGACTGCACCGTCCTGTACTTTTCTTCTCCAGGCAGGTCGGTCCTGTGCTAGGGATTGCCAGCTTTCCAGGTCGAATCCAAATAAGGGTGTCCTTGTAGCGCTTTTTGGGGCCACTTGTGCTCGCTTGCCATTCTTCAGCTCGCCAAAGAAGACTTGTTTTGGAAGTCTCGCGTAGGGCATTCTGGTCACGTGGCCAGTCCATCTAAGCTGTTCCTTCGCAAGCAAGGTGTAGATGCTTGGGATATTTGCCTTGCTGAGGACTTCCGTGTCAGGGATTCTGTCTTGCCACTTGATCCTCAGCAGTTTCCTCAGACAGCTCAAGTGGAGATGATTTAATTTCTTGGCATGGCGCTGGTAAATTGTCCAGGCTTCGCACCCATACAGAAGAGTTGGTAAGACAACAGCCCGGTAGACCTTTAGTTTTGTCTCCTGCTTGATGCCATTCCTTTCCCATACCGAGTCACGTAGACGCCCAAAGGCTGCACTGGCCTTGACAATCCTGATGTTAACTTCATCATCTATGTGCACAGCGCGAGACAGTGTACTACCAAGGTAAGTAAACTTGTCAACGGCTGAAAGTTTTTGCCCATTGACAAACATGGTTGGCTCAGGGTAGGGTTTCCCAGGAGCAGGTTGGTATAGGACTTTAGTCACGTAGACGCCCATGATAACAACGTACAGTACATCCTTGTTTGTCAATCCACTGCTGGTTGATGGCCTCCCTAACGTCAGTGTAGGTCGTGAGGGTTTTTATGACCATACTTCACCACACCGGTCGATGTCAGTTGATGAGGTGGGCGCCCAGAACCGGTTAAGATATCACTCGCAGACTTATGTTAGTCATGGCGAGGCATCAAACCAAAGTTGGCTAGGTTCAAAATTCACTGCACGAACCACTGGGGAGCTGCTCTCCCCCCCCCCCCCCCCCAGTCCAGTGCTCGCCGAGCTGCATTGCCTTCTGGTTGCCGAACAAGTACATTGTGCGGTTGCACTCATTACACACAAAGTGCTTGCCACGAATGAACCACAATACCCTGCCGATCTCGTCAAGGAGCATAAACCATCATCACGCGAACCATCAAACAAAGGCGGTGTTCACAGCACGGCGCTTTCAGATGCGCTTCTGCGGCCATCTGCAAAGCTCTTATTTCCGATATTAAGAAGCCACTGGAGCTATGCACTTTTAAATATACTGTCGTTTGAAAAGAATTTCTTTAGAACGCACCTCCGATTAGCATGGTTGGCTACGTACGATGCGGCGAAAAAAGTCCAACACGCATAGTCCATTATACAGTTTACCTGCTCAGGATTGTGGTTTAAGAAACATGGAAATGAACTCGACACGATGTAGCAGCAGCTGTAAAATGTGCAAAGAAGCATGGAGGTGCATGCTTGGAATTACACTGGGAAACAGAAATTAGAAAACACACTTAGAACAGAAACATGTCCGGTGGGCAATACAAAAGGCGACCGGGTCAGAAATCGAACCCAGGCGCCTCTTGCTTTTACCACTGCACCACTTTACCACCCAACGTGAACCATTGACTCTGAAGTGTATGTATGTTGAACGTCTGTCGCACCGCACGTAGCCCACCGTGCTAATCGGAGGTGCAGGGACATTGGAAGTGCGGGAAACAAACAATCCACCCAGTGCCCGCACGATGCGCAATTACGCCGCTCCGTCGCCATCGTAGATGCCCTCTTGCGTGCGTCCCATTCCTTGGCTGCCACTCGGTGTCATTATAACTTTAAATCTCGAATTTAGAAAAGGACTCCGAGCTTACTTTTAGTCTGTCTCTTAGTTCCCCCGGTCTGCCTTCATTTGCCATCTAAAGTAGACGCACTCTGCTGTTCCCCACTCGTATTGCCTTTTGGCAGATGCCTCCAAATGTTGAGCGTACTTGTCGGACGTGGCTTTTGTTTTGTTTGGGTTTATTCCGTCTGGTCGAAGTTCTTCTCAATTTAGCTGATGCATTCTCGAGTGCAGCGACAAAGACCAATACTGGTCAGTGAGATTGGTTTTTCTTTTCAGTTTTTTCGTTTCAGTTTCATTTATTTGCTATAGCCCTGTGAGCCATTCGGCTCTTAAAACAGGTGCAATCACAACAAACAAAATTCAAAACATGAACAAGAAAACATCTTAAAGTGACTATGCGCAAACAGAAAAATCCAGGAAAAAACTGCAAAAAATCTTCCACAAAAAAGCACCGTACACCAACGCTCTGTGCAAAAATCCCGTGGGATGCAAGTCATAGTTTCTGAAGCGAAGGAGAAAAGTCTTGTGAGAATTGAGCTCTATTGAGTAATCACGGGGGTAATTTCCCACACCTCCGATGAGTACAGTTGGCTAGGTATCGTGCAAAAGAAGCTCAACATACAAACCAACATTCGTGGATAGAGTGTTGGCGCACTATGCTTGCCGCCCGGCGACCTTGACTTGAGATTCCCGGCAAAGGCAAGCATCGTTGCCGAGTGATATCCGAACCGGTTCCTGGGTTCACCCCTTTCAGTGACCCTCACTAGCAAGCGTGGCAAGGTAATGGTCAACTGGTGGCATGGCCTCGTGGTAGCGCACTAACCGCTTGTTGCAGAGCCCCAGCGGTTCCGAGTCGGCAGCCTTACCCTGGATGTTGCTACGGGTGTATTAGCCATACTCTTAGTTATTTCGGTAAAGTCACGTAGGTAAAAAATGAAATAAAAATTAATATGAAGAAAACAATAAAATCACGACGTTTCATTCATTTTAATTTCATTTTTTACCTATGCGACTTTACCGAAAGAACTAAGAGTATGAATCCTTGCAGTCATGAAAGCTTCAAATCTAGAATTGTATTAGCTATAACGATGCACCTCTTATGCTTCACAGTGAACGTTCAATATCCGTTGTGTGCTGGCATCATGGTCCAAATTTGGAGAGTTAAAAAAAATCACCCGCGAATTGCCCAATTTAAAATATGTAATGCGAGCATAAACAGGGTGGTTGCTGGCCTCCGCGCCACTCACACCGGAGCGTGTGGGAGGAGCAACTGCTCACCTCGGCTCCAATGGGAGACGAGGTGAATGGGGGGCGGAGACGGGGGCAGTACGAGAAGGAGGAGTCAGGGTCACGTGATGGGGAGGATATAGGGAGAGAGTCGGAAGAGATCGGGGAGTGGGAACTGAGCGAGAATAGGGGAGGCCACGCTGGGCAGTGTGGAGGAGCGGCGCCATCTGCCACGTGGTCGTAGACCTATGCACACCGTCGGCCAGCGGTGTGCGTGAGGTAGACGGGGCTAGCGGTGTGTGAGGGGCTAGCAGAGTGTGCGGGGCACACGTAGCTAGTGGGTGACTAGCGGAATGTGCGGGGCACACGGAGCGAGCGGTGTGGCTGGCGGCGTGTGCGGGGCACACGGAGAGAGCGGAGCGGCCACACGGAGCGTGCGCGGGGCGCGCGGGGATCTGCGCAAGTTCGGACGAGAACCAGCGGGGTGAGATACGAAGAACCTAAAATAAACGACAACAGAGACCAAGAGAGCCTGACAGAGTCGTTTATTACAAATACATACAGGAGCAGCAAAACCTAATCTTATTTTTTCATACTTTGATACTGGGGAAAAAAGGTCCTATTTCGGAGCAGCAACATTGCCTCCGCCCCCTTATTGCGTAAAACTTCGCAGGACCCTCCTGAAAAATATGCATGAGATTTGGACTTTCCTGGGTAAACTAGGGCAGCAGCTTCTTGGTTATTTCGGTAAAGTCACGTAGAAGGGAAGTAATACAATAATAAAAAATAAAACAATAAAATAATTCTCACGACGTTTCGGCCACAACGCAAGCAGCCGTCCTCAGGTGAAGAACATGTCTGTCGATAAGACAGAGTCTAAATGACACGTCTTAGGCTTGGAGTGTCTATTTAAGCTGTGAGGGAGGAAGAGAGCCTTGACAAAAGAATTTGCATTTGAAGAGGAATTTTGCATATTTATGGGAAATGCAGGAATGCGAATAGTGCTAATTGCCTCCCACGCATTTCACAATTACCACTATTCGCATTCCTGCATTTCCCATAAATATGCTAAATTCCTCTTCAAATGCAAATTATTTTGTCAAGGCTCTCTTCCTCCTCCCTCACAGCTTAAATAGACACTCCAAGCCTAAGACGTGTCATTTAGAATCTGTCTTATCGACAGACATGTTTTTCACCGGAGGACGGCTGCTTGCGTTGTGGCCGAAACGTCGTGAGAATTATTTTATTATGTTTTATTTTTTATTATTTTATTACTTCCCTTCTACGTGACTTTACCGAAAGAACCAAGAAGATGAATCCCTGCAGTCATGAAAGCTTTAAATCGAAATTTAGGGCAGCAGAAACAACAACAATAATCATTCCAATAAGCGACGTGGCGTGGGAGAGCTTCCATTCAGCAGTGGATCGACCTAAAGTGCCCTCACGAACAATAAGCGAGCTCGTTGGGTTACACGTTTCCACAAACGGTCATCGACACCGCATTGGCGTCTTCATGTTTTCAATTAAAGCGTCACAGTGCTCTTTCCCCACATTCCACACGCACGTTTAAACAGCGTGCAAGTTATCTTCGCGTCCCCGAATCGGACCCCCGTCGGGTCATGCCGTTGTCACCACGAGATCTCGGCTCTGCCGGGCTCGTGTTTGCCACGAGCGTGATGTTTGCACAGTAAAGCCATGGCTATCGGCGTTTTTTGAAAGGTATTTATGGATCTTGAGCCTATATTTCTGCCACACTGGCAAGTGATTTATATGTGCACCCTCTGTTATTTATTACACGTGTTTTTGCAGCGTTGGCGGATGCACGTGAAGGCGATTCGTCAGGGTGATGGTTTTGGTCGCGAAGTTTAAGCAAACTTCGATGGCCTAGGATGCAAGTGTATATTTATACTTTGTATATATCGATTGAAGCTAAGCGCTATAGCAATGTCAGCTTTTGAATAATGCACTCCGCGGTTTTAAATATTGAGATGTTTGTCCACGGATGTCACGTGAATTCAGCATAACCTTGTGCAAATTAAACACGGACATATTTGAAGAGAGTGGAAAGGACCGTATTAAAAAAAAATACAACACTCATGCCTGCTATCACTAATATAATGAGCCAAGAATGTCTGTGTGTAACGTCACTCCACGTCGAGCAGCCCCCCTCATTAATAAGCATGAACAGGAGGGGTCCTCCACATGGACCCCCCCCCCCCATCATTAATAACCATGAACGGGTGACGTCACTCCGCATGAAGAAGATGAAGCGGAAACAAAAAATTGTTGAGGCAAAATATCTTTAATTTTGACCTTTCTTTATGGAAAGTAAAGCTAATAATGGGAGAGGGAGGGCGGGGGGGCACATGCATGGGAAGGGGGGGGGGGCATTGCAGTAACATCCATAGCCGTGTCGTAACTCTACTGCAACGTGCATGCCGGCCGCCTCCACCTCCCAACACTGACTTGCTTGGTGAAGAACGGTCAAACCACTCGCCCACGACCCACGGTGGGTGCACTGACATGGCGGCTGTACGAGTCTACGCACGCCCTTGTCCCCCCTACCCCACCTCATGAAATTGATTGCCAGTGCCCTCTCTCTCCCTTCTTCGACTTTACACTTGGAGTGTTCCATTTTAAATTTCACACAAAATCAGTGATTGCATGCAACACCATTGTATTCAGATGTGAACCTTTTTATTGCACTTTTTTTTAAAATATTAAACTTGCTTATTTGACGTAGTTAGACATCAAATGAAACAAATCACGACGTTTCGATCGCAACACAAGCAATCGTCATCAGGTGGGACAACCACAGCAAGAAACAACTGCTGAAGTAGGCGAGAGATCTGCCGTGGCACGAGGTTATATAGGCAGAAAGTGGACCCCGCAGCAGCACCCGGGTCACTCGAGTAAAGTGGGCCACCGCAGGTCGCCTCCTGTTCTTCCCTCAACTACATCGATCCAACGCAGTCTCCGTCGACGGTCTCTTGCTTCTCAACGCGCGGCTTCCGGTGTGCATCGCCACGCGTCTTTGGTAAAGTCAGGATACATTCCATTGGAACCTCATTTGCCAGTAAAAATATGATAATTGTTTTTTTACCCTTTTATCTGGCAACAAAACTGACACCTTTTATAAGTGCGCCTTTTGGCGTCATCTGGTCCAACACCATGTGAGACTAGGCTCTAAGGAAAGCTGTCTCGGGTGTGGACCAATCAACTTCAAGGACAGTGCATACATTATCAGAGTTATGTTTTTTGGTTGCATTATGACTGCAGGTATTGTGGTCAATGCAAACATGACTCCTTGTAAAAAAGGTGTCAGGTTTGTTGCCAGATAAAAGGGTAAAAAAACAATTATCAGGATACATTCTTGAGACGGGTCCAAACACACGACTGCAGTCTGGTGTGCACTGGGATCTTTCGTAACAGTGTTTATCCTCGTCCTAGTCATTTTGTAATTTTCTTTTGTTGTTTTTCGAAGCCCCCATAACTCCCATGATTCACTTCTGCTGGTCACATGTCTGCAGGCGGTTCGTTTTCCTTCATCTGCCGTCCTCGAAATACAACATTCTGATGGGTATAAAATTGTCGGTACAATCGTTGCTGTTTCGTATATACCTCAATTTTCGTGTTCATAGCAATGTCAAATTCACGTTCCATTATCCCAGCGAATCCTTTTTATTTCGTCATCGCTGTATCCATTTTTTCGACAGCAATGTACTTTTAAATCTAGATTTAGAAAACTAATTTATTTAGAAATGCTTTGTTATCCCCCCCCCCCCCACATCATATTAGCACGGTTGGTTACGTATAGTGCAAAAGCAGTTCAACATACGTACAAGAGAGGAGGATCACAGTGGAGATGTAACACTGAGCTCAATTCATTGCGCAGGAGTGAGATGGATCGTGAAATCACGAGACCGCGAGAGATGGCAAAACAACGATCCGCAGTGCCAAGCGAAAACAAAGTGCAGCTATGCACACATATTAGAATTGTCACGACGTAAACAATAATAAAACATGAATCGTGGTTAAGTGTAAAACACAATTCGTTTCGTCCAAACAAAGGCTTTTCAAAAGTTGCTTTCTAAATGTTCGTTTTAAATGTTTTTTGTGGAAGCCTGCGGGGCCTGTCTTATGTCTCAGCATCGCTGATGCATAAATACTGCAGAAGTAACAAACTCAACACACTCGTCGACAACACTGCCTTACAAGACAAAATATATAACAGGCGATGCTATTATACATCGTCGTCTATCGCGAAGGTAACAATTGTGATATACAATTTATATATTTTCAGGCAATTTCCTGTACACACTGGGTTTATAAATCTTGTCATAACAGCATTTTTTTTGGAAGAACACATGTTCGAAAACAACTGCAACATAAATTCAGGAGCATTGTAACTTCATTCGTTTTTTTCTTCTCAATGTTCCAGTGTGAAAATTCACCCAACCACCCATTCGTCAATTCAGATTATTGACTCCACCTCACTTTCAATCGATAATTCGCACTGACATAATTATGATTACAGCTATGATTACAGCAGTGCATACTGACTGTGGTGGTACCTGCTATGATTACAGGAGTGCATACTGACTATCACTACAGTAGTACATGCTGACTCTATAGCAGTATTTATCGACTCTATAGCACAAAGTACTCACCTGACAGAGTGAGGCCTAGTCCCGTGCAGAGCACCCGGCCTCGCCTAGATTACCCAGCCTGCCGAGGTGGCACCTTGGCAGGCTAGTGCTGGGCCTGCTATCCTTCCCCACCATCCCCCGCCCACGGTAGAATAACACTAAGCTCTATAATATTAGTATCTACCGACTCTATAGTAGTAAGTGCACACAGGGGGGGGCGAGGACATGACACTTTGATTAATTTATCTCAGCGTTGTGTATTTTTTTTTGTATTTTGAACGCGAATGAGAAACCCCCCCCCCCCCTCCACCGATGACGCATGTGCGTTGCTAGGGGCGATGAAATTATTAAATAATAATCACATTAAATTGCTAATTTAACTACTTTAAAGTTGACGGATGGGATAACGGAATAGCGCTGGCACACCACGGGGCTTACGGCGTGGTACCCGGCTCCTTTTTTTTTACGAAAACCCCACGGTTCGCGAGTCAAATCCTTCGCAAGTTGCGTGCACACAAACACAGAGACAAACAGATGGACAGACGGACAGAGGGACAGACGGACACACAGACAAAAAAATGACTTTTATAGGTAAGATGGAACAGGATAATTGCATTAAGGCCGAGATCTATAATGCGGTAGGAGCAGTACAGCCTCTCTGACTGGGGTCGGCTCCCTGCGTCTCCGGAGCCAGCCACGTGGCTCTTTAAGGACTGCTTCGTGACCTTTGTTGATTTCATGACCGTCTCTTATTCACCACATCTCATTACGGCTCTTGAAATTATGCGGGGGGTGGGTGGGGGGAGGTTACTCAATTCAAAAGAAAAACAAAGGAGAAAGAACAATGGGATGTTTTTTTCAGTTCTGGAAGGTCCATGATATCGGGACTGATCATAGCCTACCGGATGAGAAGCCCATCTGGAAAATCCATTCATTTGTAGGTGGACTGACGGATTGTGTCATCGTACTACGATTGAAAATAATCCATGGCCTGGAGTTTCCCGGCTGGCTGCTGACTGGGCTCCTCACCACCCCCCAATGATTAGCTCTGTTGTTAGTGGCTGCTGCGGGCCACCGAAACTAGCTGGGTAACTGGCTACAACGGGTTGTTCCGTGTAACAAGTCACTATGGATATCAATAGGTGTCTGCTTGGTGTTTGAACATGTGAACACCTGCATTATTGCCGGAAAGGGTAAAGCCTGTTTGCTCATCGAATGAACTCAGGTTGTACTGCATTGCGCATTCCCAAGAGCGTGTTAGGG